TGTCTGAAGATATTGTGCTCTCAACTGGACTCCAATAATGAGAGTTATCTAAAGCCATGCCTTTTGGTAATCGTTGTCTTCCTTTTAGAGGAATTCAAAGACCGGCTGAAGAACGAGAAGTCACTGCCGAACCCGAAGGAAAAACTATCACAATTCGCCACAATTATCAAACAATGCGATGGTTTTCATCTATTAAACCAAATAAACGAAAGACGTCTACACAAAGAGACACTAAACGAGAGATACATTGTGTCAGAAGTGGAGAGATATGTGGAGGAAATCATGATCTGGTCTTTTGGTGTGGAGAGTCGGCCGCGCAAAAGGCAGCCATTGTTTGAAGTGATGAAACCAATGAAATCGTTGATATCATGCATGGATTGCAAACAATTCTTGGCCGACACCGACATCTTCGCCTGTCATCACATCACATACTGTATTAAATGTGCCTCAAGTGCTGTCAGCAAAGTCTATACACAGGAGCCCAAAAAATGTCTGCTCAACAAATGTGCGAAACCAATACCTACTGGCGATTGTCCGCTATATATGTTCCGAAACAAATTGTATACATTTGTGAGTCTATTTGTGTGTAATGTTAGTGAATGTAATTAATTGATTCATTTGTATGTTATGTGCAGTACATGGATATCCAAAATGAAGTCGAACACCAACTCGAGTCCTGAATTATTAACAGGCGTTTGGTTTCCAATGTTTTTAATTACCCATAAATTTATCATTTCTTTTGCAATTAATTTTATTTTATTATATTTTATAACTATTTACTGGTTATTGTCGTTATTTATTATAATATATTTTTATTATATTTTAAACAATAATATTTGCATTTAATTATTATATTTAAAAAATCAATTTTATGAATCAATGTTTTATATAAGCGACAATTAATAAAAACATATAATGTAAATGTTTTATCAGTGATATTACGATCTGTATGAATTAAACATGTCTTTTAGTCAATTATTATATAAAATATTTACATATTATATATATTTAAGGGAAAAGTCAAAATATTTAAACTTAATACAAAATTTCGTAAATAAATGAACACTTGAATCTTGTATCCAAACAATGAACGCCTTTTGACAATAATAATGGGTTTTGAATGCGATGTCAATTATAAATCAGTGCAATCACTGGATATTTCTAACTCATATCTCTTGGGCCTCACCTCAGAGAGTACAGAGGGTATGAACTCAGAGAACGAGAATGAGAGAGAGAGAGAGAGAGAGAGAGAGAGAGAGAGAGAGACGAAACGGAGTGACAGATCAAAGCGTCGACTTCTCCATCAGTCGAGTGGCCAATAATTGTGTGCCTCAAAAGTGTTGCCACTATTTTGAATGCCTCACCACTGATAGCATTAATACAGTCTGACATACAGTATCGCCATTTGACACGAACTTTAGCTCCGCTGCCCGTCCTCTTCAACAGTGACACTGAGGTCTCCCTCGGGAACCGACGCCACGGATGAAGAAATATGGCGTCCATTGATTTTACCTCATATTTTGCATTCATTCCGATTCGTTGGAGCGAAACAATAATTGTCACAAAATTATATACCACTCTATTATTCAATACAATAGTATTCTGTATGCATTATATGCACACAAAAATATACACATATTTATCTTTCAGCCACTCTTTGAATGAATTTTAAAAATTTTAAATTATATGTTCATTACTTATTCTGTCGTTAAAATATCAAACATCAAACATGGTTCAAACATCAAACAAATATCAAACACGGTTCATCACAACCGCACTGTAATATTCGCCCATTAATTGCTGTATTAAATATTTTAATTTATAATTACAATGATTTTTGAATGTTTTATAAATATATCATTTAAACAGATTTTTAACGCGAAATAATAACAAATGAGAGCACAGAAAAAGCTATAAAGACTTTTATATAAAGCCATTTATATATCCATCGAAAGAAATGGTATAAATATTTGTCTTTCGTTGGAAATGATTTGTTGTGATCGCATGTAATGAGTGTTCGTATTGTTCTTATAGTGAACTCCTTTTTTATTAATGTTTGAATTTTATGCTTACCTTTTCTCAAAGTGTATTACAAACAATTTGTATTACTTAAAGGATTTAAAATCACTTCTCCTTTTTTGAGTGACTGCGAGAAAATGTGAGACACAAAGTGAGTGAATGACTCAAACGAGAGAGAGAGAGAGAGAGAGAGAGAGATCTGGTAAGTTTTCGAATACAGGGTAAATCTATCCATTTATATACAAAATACTTCGGCATAACATCTCTTATACTATTTTTTACCGCAAAAGAATAACTTTAGATCAAAGTTTATCCATTCAGTCCATATACCCGAAAGACCAAATGTCACGTGATTACCACTCCTCCTGACCATTCTCTCTCTCTCTCTCTCTCTCTCTCTCTCATCATATTTGAACTTGATAGTCTATTGTTTATAATAATTATTGTTATAAATATGTGACAACATTGTATTTCTATATAATCTCTCTCTCTCTCTCTCTCTCTCTCTCTCTCTCTCTCTCTGAATGAATGAAACATCTCTTATGTGTATGCATTCATAGCCCTATCCTTCTTGTGTGTGATTCCCCAACAAATACAATGAGAGGATTTACTGGGATTGAAAGGACGGCGCTATTGAGCCAGAAATACATTATACTATCACTTCAAACGCTGAGAACAATAAAACTTCTGGCGTTCACTCGCTCTCCAAGATATCCATTCCCGATATGACTGTAATATAAAATATCACTACAACTGATCAAAACATTTTGTTTTCATTATTATTATATTAGATTACATTTATTTCTCTATTATATCGTAATTTGTAATTATAAGGTCGTTTGAATTAAATACAAAACCTTAACTGTAAAAATTTTAATTATTCTTAGCATTTAATTAAAACAAACAAAAAACAATCTCTAATTTAAAATGTTATATAATTTTCGTATTGAACGTGAAGTGCAATTAATTTTGTTTTATAATTCAATTGATGGCAGTTTTCTCTATAATGATAGCCATAATAAAGTATATGTCTATCTCTGGCTCTCATTCACTGAGTCTATCGCTATCTTATATATAACTCTCTGTTTTGGTGTTCATATAATGGCAGCAAAACTGTGAGCCAACGAAATGATGGCACAAACTCTTCCTATAATCGTATCGATCCTACAATTCATAGCGGGTTTGATGTGAAGCACACATAAAATGGTCGGCTCTTAAGGCCTTAAAACTCTAATAATTCTACGAATAGGTATTGAAATGTCATTTCGTATAATAGGCTCATTGAATCGCACGAACAGATTGTTATGTCTCACAGATTCATATTTAAACAGTCCTTTCATTTCTATATACAACACATTACAAAACGGAGAAGAAATACTTACCACGAATAAGAGTTTTAGTTTGAGTTGATTTGAGTTTTAATTATCAAAAGTGATTTGATTTTAAATAATGTATACATATTAATATTTTTATTAAATCACCAAGGTGTTTTTAAAAATATAGCCTTTAAATTAGAGTACACTATATGTAACTCACATACATGTATATAAAGACAAGGATTAGCTTTTGAGGTGTATTTTTTACCTGCATTTAGAATATATTCTTAACATTATTCCTCAATATTCTGTTCATTAAGGTTTGTTTGAAAGAATATTTTAAACTATTTTTCTAATATGTTAATTAAATAATTTACATTGTTGTTTAGTTTATTATAAATTAAAGGGGTTTCATTAGAAACTATAAATACTATCAGAGATATACTAATATAGTATATAAATAAAATAAACATTTAGTTTTCTTTTTATGAATCTTTATTATTATTGAATTTATTTTCTTTTTTATTGTACAAAAATTTCATCACATCTTTGATGAAATTGCTGTTGAATTGTGTTTGTATTTCAAAAATTGATATTTTCATTAAAATGATTGCACAAACGTTTCATTTATATTTGTTTTAAATTAATGTAATGTATAATTATTTTTACTCAAATATTAGTCGAAATATTTTTACATTGAAAAAATGAAAGAAATAATAGTTATGCTAAAAATTGTTTAATTCTTTAAGTATATTCCGTATAATTAATGATATGTTTATACAATTGTTTTGTATGTTATATGTGTTGTTGTTATTGTTTGTGTCTTAAGTATTGGTATTTAAATACATTTGTCTAATATTTCTATTCAATTCAAATGTTTAATGTTTTACAGAAAATAATTCACAATTTTGCTAACAAAACATTAATTCAATTATCTGTTGACTCGTTGTTTACAAAATTTCATGAATTATTTCCACTAATTAATATTAAGTATTTGCGAAATAAAACAATATGATAATTTTGTTCAAATAAAAAGTGAAAAGTAAATATTAATTGAACAAAAATTGAATCAAAATGAACTAATATTTCTACTATAAGTTAGAAAATCAACAACTTTATCAATACTAATTATAATAAAAAATAAATCCAATTTAATTATAAAACTAGTAATGATTTACTTAATAATGAACGAAATGTTTTAAATATTGATATTAAGGAACTTTATTTGTGGTGAAAGTAAATCTTTGGTTTCCTTAGACTTAGACATCAATTTTAAAATGACTTCTAATGAAAAGAATATTCTGTTTATCATTAAAAAAACAAATGACATTATATTTACACTTCATCTTTGGCTTAAATAATACTCAATAATAATGTACACAATTTGAGAAAAAATTGAGACCATAATAACTACTCAATGTTTTTGAAAACAAAATTAATTATCGATATTTTGAATAATATTACTGCAGAAAAATTGTTAAACACTTTTTTGGTTTTATATGTATAAAGAAATTCTGATTTAAATGACAAGAATTGGTTTTTATGTATGTTTTTTAAATTTGGTGTTTGAATATAATATGTAATTTATATATTGAATTTGACTTACATTTGAGGGGCAATTAAAACACAACACTTTAAATGCTTGGATCGCTTTTTTGATTAGATTTAAACCGACGGCCTTTCGGTGTTAGCATTGGTGACAGCAGTGGCCCCGTACTGACAGGGGCTGAGGCCGGCGCCGGTCGGCTGCCGGGGAGACATCGGCGAGTAGGAGGACATCGCGCCGAATGGGGTCACCGAATGCTGTTTGGCTTTGAGTCTAAGTGTTGCTATACTGGAGGCAGACATAGCATTAGAGCACTGGTCAGTCGCGGTTCGGTATGCGGTTACGTATGGAGAGTTGGCCGACGCCGACGCGTACGGACAGGGGTTGCCATTTTGGAGGCCGGCGTTCACGTTAGACATTGTGGTCCCCGTATTGAAACACGACATCGCCGTCTGTGTGGCCGCCAATGGGTTCACGTTCACGGAGTTGAGTGTCGGCCACGGGAACGACTTGGCGCCCAACGGTGAGGGCACTTTCGACGCCCAGTTGTTGTAAGTGCCGTAACCCGAGTACAGGGCTGTCGTGTCGTCAAATGGTGACTGCATTAGGCCATTGAATTGGGACCCAAACCCGTTCTTCAGCTCTTGGGCCGCATTGCGCTCACGTTTACGCCATTTTGCCCGACGGTTCTTAAACCACACCTAAACGACATTAAACAGTAAACACATTAGTATTTGTCAATAAATTCTTCAAAAATATTATAAAGTATTGTATATTTATATTCATATTATAATTAATTTTAATTATCTCATTCTCTCACTCTTCTGTCACTGATATAAATGTTAATTAAAAATAAATTAAAAACAATATTTCAATACATCAGATGACTTCATATACGGGGCACTAATTAAAATTTTTGAGTCAAACATTTTGGTTGACATTTATTTTTGCTGTTCATTAATGAAATGAATATTTAGAGCACTCGTGGGGGTTTGAGTGGTGTATAGGCGTTGAACACAACGAGTGAAGAGTTATATTTAAATATGAAATAAAATATTCATTTTTTACTATAATTACTTTCGGAGTGAAATGACAATAAAATTTTAATATAAACTATAATAATATAAGCGGTAATAAAAGGCAAAACATATAAACCTTTTTACGAGTACTACTCGTCGCACAAAAAAATGTACACAATTTTTAATGTATTAATTATAAGTTATGGCACGAGTAATAAAATTGTAGCCATTATTTGAATGCAATTTTAACCGAGAAATATATATAAGTATTAATAAGCGCTGAATAAAACATTAACTTAACATTTTTAATGTGCGAAACAAATGTTTATTTAACTCTTTTCTCATACGTAAAGGCATTAAAATTTTATAATAAGAATTGCGTTAAGAAATAAATTCTTTGGTAAGAATAATAACCAAATTATTTAATGCAAAGAATAATTTCACATTTTTTGCACAAGGAATTTATACAAACATTTATATCACAGAAATTGATAGAAAATTATGATTTAATGCAAAAATATTTCCTGCAATCAAAACACAGGCGTCGGAAAGGCTAGAGTCCAGTGAAAGACTGGAGACTGAGTTTTGACTTTTATCTCAATTATTGTAACGATTGTAACAACACTTTAATCAATCAAATGCCATAAAGATTTGTGTATTGAATGCGGAATTGTTTACATACCACTAACCATAACTATATTACGTCCATGTTCAATTACAATTATTTCACGTAACTTATACTGTACTGTTAAGTTATAAGGAGTGCATTAAGCACTGATATTTTAACAATCTGTAATTTAATGATAGTTAATATTGTTTAAGAATAATAATTAAAATCTTTTCTTATTATGTATTATGCTCAATACTATTGAGCAATAGATTCACCATTTCGCAAAATATACATTTGGTCTAGTGTGATTTAGTAAATCAACATTGCCTATAATATGGATTGTTTTATAAAGATCTTACAAAAAATCTACAAAATTAATTTATTTTTATACGGATTTGTCATTTATTCTAATTTCGTCAAAATATAGAATAATTATACAATATTTCACTTGTTTTTCATAACCCATGTAAAATACCTCATCAATGCTAAACACCTGTGTCTACAGTACATACAACTCCCGGTGCCCTCCATTCTAGCGGTGTATTTACTGCTAATATGCAATCACATAATGTGTCCGACTGTTAGCCTCCCAGTAGTAAATATACGACACTTTCGCAACCATTACGTACAGTAAATACACAAAATGTATAGTAAAACTCAATGATTTTTGGACTAACCGTTAAGAAAGGGAGGGATGAAAAATATTGACTGAATAATAGGGATAAGAGGGAAGACATAACACGCATACAGAGTGAGAGTGAGCGCAATGAGAGAGGGATTTAACGATAGAAATGTTTGCTTTAAAAAAGTCTCACAAGAAAACAGAATATTACTGTTTAAGACATTAAACCATTTTATTTAAGGAATTAAAGTCATTATTGAATAATTGCTGATTTGATCTTAATATGCAGTAATTGTGCGATTATTTCATTTCTCAGATTTCAATAAATAAGCCGAAAATATCACTGAAAAGACATTACATTTTTCATAAAAACACATTTTATATGCATATATAAAGAGCCGTAATATTAGCGATAAAAACGACAAAATAAATGCTTAAATATTTAAATGACTAGAAATTTTGAATTTTAAAATATCAAAAGCTGTGTTGAATGGACTCGACTGACAATATTCTGGTGCCTTTGGTTATTGTCTCATAAATAATGTTTATAATGGTTTAGTTGAAGCAATTTAATGATTATCATTGAGGCGAACCATAACTAAATTACATATCACTCTCTTTTTAGCCTATAATACAAATACAGTAATAATAATCTCTTCTCAAACTCAATCTCTTGCTGTTTTTGGCTCAACTTTAGGCTCCATTTATATGAGCGTAAAATATATTTATCATTAAAAAATTATTTGATAAGTAATTATTTAAGTACAATTAGTATTGTAATTGTTTAATTTTAATCATTTTTAGCATCATCTTTTTTTTTGCTCAACTATAACAGATTCTGATATAAATTACAAAAAATATTGTTATCAAAAATATATGATATCCTTTCAGAGCTTTAAATTAAATAAAAATTTGTCACAAAATACAATGTGAAGACATAACGGCACAAAATCGTGAAATAGTGTCACAGAAATTATGTGTCAAATCAGAGATATGACCGAAAATATCTCATGAGTATAATATACTCCCGGGAAATGTACGGCACATTCAACGAGAGAGAGAGAGAGAGAGAGAGAGAGTCGATTGCGGAGGAAATGTTTAGTGAAATGAAAGTTAGTGTTCACTCAAATAGGAGAG